GAAAATATGCGAACTTTACCGGGAGAGGCAGAATTCGCAAAATATCTCTTATCACTGGGTGATGGGAAATTAAATGATACCGATAATAATCTATTGCCTCCAGAACAATGCATAGCTTCAAAGAATGATGACATTGTTGAAGTAATATTCAAGAAACTTATTGATGAACGTCGATTTGGTGATTTAGCAAAAACTGCTGTACTAGCAGCACGAAACGTTGACGTCGATGAGATTAATTGTAATGTAACGAAACTTTTGGACGAAACAACGGAGCGTCTCTATACAGGTATCGATAGTGTGGAAAACTGTGATAACGGGGATATCAATAATGCAATTTTACCAGAATATTTAAATACACTCAATCCTCCAAATTTTCCACCGTATGAGTTACGGTTGAGAAAAGATTCAATTGTTATATTAATTCGAAATTTGAGTACTAATGAAGGTTTATGTAATGGAACCCGGCTGCAAATTATAGAACTCGCAAACCATCTCTTGCGATGCCGAATATTGAACGGAGACAAGATGGGAGACATTGTATTTATCAACCGTGTGACATTATACTGTGAAAATGTCTTTCCGTTTACGTTCAAACGACGTCAATTCCCAGTCAAATTAGGCTTTGCAATGACAATTAATAAAAGTCAAGGACAAACTTTTGATAAAATTGGCATAGACCTCCGCAAGGATGTTTTTAACCATGGGCAATTATACGTTGCATTTTCCAGAGTTCGCTCATGGGAGACATTGCGAATTTTCTTGGGGAGTGACAGAGAATCTAACGCGGTAAAAAACTGGGTATATACAGAACTATACAAGTAATGAATAGGAAAGTATTTTTTCCTATCATGATCGTTATTTGACATCGAATATAATCGAAATTTTCCATTTTTTCTGGTATATGAGACTTGGAGCGCCCTCTTCCTTTTTTGTGCGATATAATTTGACTGATTGCTGTCGCTACTATAGCTAAGTCTCGCATTCGCGGAAATGTTCTCCAATCTCTATACCGTATGCTGCCTCGCGCTGCATAGTATATGTAATCTTAGGGCAATCAAAATATATTAAGAGTTTCTCAATTGCCTTTTTCTATGAGTCTTAATTTTAACTTCGAAGATACAATAAGAACATTCATTTGCTACAATTTTCAATTCTTATGATATGTAAAAGAAGGCGCGTGCGTAGCACGCGCGGACGATCTCGTATTATCAAATTTCCGCAGTCACTTAAATTCCGGGATATTTCTCAAAAACTGGAGTCGACTCATCCTCTTTCGTCTCTTCACTTCTAAATTTACGAACAACTCTTGCATAAGTGCTCGAAGAGATTGAAGGTAGATGGTGTCATTGAGACAACGAGATTTTAGTCTAAATTAAAAACGAAAATTCTTTGCGCGAGTCATTTTCGAGATGTGATGGAAATGAATTTATTAAACGAAAAGTTTTGCTGCAGTTCGGTAACTAAAATCACTTTCTTTTTGACAATATAAAGTTCAACTTCTTAACTTCAATATCCTAGAGTTTTAGAATATGATAAAAATTTATTTGAGGTACAAACAATATTTTTGTGCACGTGGGAAGAAAAATATACCCTCGAGAGTTTAAAACTTTTCCGCAATGAAATGTCATCCGAGTTTTTGATTTTTCAACATTTCCCTCCCTTTCCCTCTCCTTTGCTCACTCGAGACTCGAACGTACGCATGCGCATGATAAAGTGTCTTTTTCAGAGATTATTAATCTGTAAAATTATATTGTTAAAAAATTATTCCTGAAATATGTAGATATCCGGTGATAAGCATCGATGATTTTCTTGAAAATTTTCAATGACTTTCAAAATTGAATATCTCCCAACGCAGCAAAGATACAAAAAAAATGAAAAAACACGTTATCCGCAGAATTAAAAGGGCTTTCCACTGGATTTTACCCTATATTTTTATCACTTCCGGTTCGCGAGATATCGACTGATAACCATCGCAAAATTGCAACATCGCATCATGAATTATATCCCCATTACAATATTTTGACTCTAGTATTTTTTTCTTAGAATATTTAATATTATTTAACTGAATAAATTGATGAATCCTTAGGCTTATAAAATTTTTCTTTTCATAAAGGGAAATACCGAATCCGGAAAATAAATGTTTATTGTCGAGTGAGCAAAAAAATATCCGAAACACAAAAGTGACTCTCAAAAATAAAGTCCCTCGAATATACATTTTCTCGAGGAAAATAAATAATCCCCGTGAGCGGAGTCACTCGATTTCAAATACGTTTGAAGATTATAATCTCATTTCTCCTTATGTAACTTAATATATTGGAAATTGAATTGAGGTAAACGCCTGGAATCCCAGGGGATTCCGTTTGAAATGAACAGGTCAAGTGGTAATTTTGAGTGAATCGTTCAATACTACGGAATTACCGATACCAAATGGACGTAACAACCCTTTACCCATCAATTATTCTTTGAAATATCAACGAGATTCTGTGTTAATATAAAAAAATTGATTTATCAAGGCTGAGTGGTTATCAATCAATAGACTCACGTACCGTTAATTCTTGTTCGTAATTTCTTGCTGTTCCGTGATAATTAATAATCTTCACTCCAAAAAAATATTTGGAATTGATAAAAAAAATCTTTGGAATTGATAAAAAAAATTCTGCGCATCTTCCTGGAGAATATTTTGTTTATGGATTACCTGGACTATCTCCTGGGACTGAAATCATAATGCAAATTTGCTTTCGAGGGTTGTGTTTGGTTAACTAAAATTCTATGACCAACTTCCAGATTGGATCCAACAATTCCCCCATTTAAAATTCAAATTCTGATATCTTAGTCGGAGGATTTGTGATATCGAGTGTTTACCTCGTTCAATGAATATTTAAATATCAATAATTCAACTGAACAATTTCTCCCTTCATCTCCTCAAAAAAAAAATATTCCATTCAATTTTGAAAAACGTAAAAATTCTACTGACACGAGTTAATTTATTTACATTGGTAAATAAATAATAATTACAATTTTGGTAAATTGATTTTTTGGAATCAGTAATTTGGCGGGATTTTTGAAAAATCTGTTGGGGAATTGACGCGGAAAATTTGAATCGAGGAAATTTTGTAATTGTGGGAGTTGTTTACAGTATATGACGGGTAGATCGCAATCAGCAACACCTCATAATAGATTCGTGCTTTCCACGTCGGATATTATTCAAGTTAACGTTGAAAACTCGTCTTCCATGGATGCACGTTATGTACATCAACTTAATAATGAGTCATGAGAAATTCATCAGCTTTTAACGTGAATCTGCATACCATTGAGACACATTATTTCTCTAAACCTCCTTGACATACTAAACGCCTTTTTAAAATTCCCGCGTTAAACCCATTCATTTCTCAATTAAAAATCCAAAAAATTACCTTTAAAAAAAAAAATAAAAATACTAAAACCCGTGATTTACCCCGTAATTCACCTGAATTCGTTTGAAACCGGTAAATCGGTTACAACGGGTAAAAACAATTTTTCGTAAAGTAATCATTGCAGGGGCTGTAATGAACTTCTCGTTCCACTTGATCTCGGGGTTAATTATCTTCTCTCCAAAAGAGTTACGTGGAGTTCACTATTTGAACTTGCGTATGACGATTTCACTGTCCCCTCCGAGCTAATTTCAACTCATAATGTTCCATCCCTGATTGCACCAACCAAGTTTCAAAATGATTCTCATTATATGTGCAAACGTGCATGTGAATGCCACTTTAATTGTTGCCCACGGGGTACACTTCATTGCTCACCACCAACTGACATCCTCATCAACTCGTCATCCCTCGATGTGGATTCGTAATATGATATTTTTATGGTACCATTATCGTACCTGTAAAAAATCTGC